CGAGAGACAAGGGAGGCGGTGGCCCGGTCCAAAAAAATCGAATACCTCCAGTCCTAACTGGGCTCGACTATTGCTGACCGGGATGCCTTCAACAAGGAGCATAAAGCAACCAAGTCAGTGAAGGAAATAACCAGGGCCGATGACAAAGAGATGGTGGCCCAGTACAAAGCTGACACTGAGGTAGCCCCTGACCGCCTGAAAGTCACTGTCGCATATGTGAAGTGGTAATCTCAAAGAGAGGCTCTCAAGGAGGTTCATGCCCCGAGTTTCGACCTGTCAGCCAAGATCGAAAATCCTATGAGGCTCGAGGTAGGCCAAGAAGTTTGCCGATCCCAAGGCTGAGGAAAGCTCTAAGGGCTCCGGCGAATCCGAGGACAGAGAAAACCACGATGTCCCTAGTGATGAGGCGGGCTCCGGCGAGGATCAAGCTTAGGTGCCTTGTAGATTTTTCTTTGTTTTTGTATTTTTATATGTTTTGTTGAGGCTGTTTGGCCTTTGTAAAGATCTTTATATATATACAAGGCTCTTTTCTTTTTTCCCTTTGGCAACTTTCAAGTTTGTTCCTTTCGGTTTTTCTTTACGATTTGTAAAGATTTCAAATGCCTTAGCACGTAGTAATAAGGTCTTGTTCGGAGGTTCGAACAAGGCTTGTTTTCGATGTAATTTTGCTTAAAACTTATGGGGGCTCGGTATGACAGGAAGCTTTCCCCACAGTACTTACTTAGAAGTTTTTAGCTTATAATTTTGCCAAGGGTAGCCTTTGACCGGTTTTGTATTTTTGAAGGCCTTATGTTTTAATTACGGGTTTCAGACGTTTCCAAGCTGTTTTTAGGATGCCGTAGCCTTTTATGTTCGAGTATTTCCCAATAGGCTTATTACACCGGGCTTCGATACCCGAGCCATCCGGGCATGCCCAGGACCACAGTCCCCAAGTGGGATGGCCTTAGATTTTAATGTTCGGGCACTGCCTAATAGGTTTTTGTGCCTCCGCGTTTTGCCAACCCAAGCCGTCTGAGTTTGCCTTGGATGAAAGTCCTCGAATGGGGGTGATCTCTTGGATCCGAATAGAGGTGGCCCTTGGGCTCGATGTCTTTAAGGAACAAAATGTAATAGTTTTTAGGAGACAAAGTATGTAACCGTAAGGTAGAAACTTTCTTTCATTTTTGTGCGCAACATATAAGATTGAAAATGTGTACAAGCTTCGTGTTATGTCTTAAGTGGTCTATGTGGGCACGGTTCATTTGACCATTTGGCCCTTACAATAAATCCTATCCACTGAGCCTAGATTGTTCAAGCCCAAAGTTTCTTTCCTCGCTAAAATCATTATCCGAGGGTGATGGCCCCCAGTATTCGAGGTCGATTGTAGAGAGGCCTCGGATACTATTGACACGATCCTCAACTCTAGTTTATCACTGATATTTAATTCTAAGTTAGCACGATCCACTGTAGCCTCATTAAAAACCCTTCCGAAAAAACCCATTTGGGACAAAACCAGTTCAAGGGGAAAAGAGTGCAACGCGTGCTTTCACGCCTAAAAGTTGTATCATTCCTTGGTCGTTACCTGTAAGCATTAGTCTGATTCGTAATATATGTAAAGGAAAGATAAATGGGGCCATACCTTAGCAGTATTATCATTTAAAATAGGTAACGTTCCAGTTGTTCGGTAGTCGCTCACCGTTCATCGCTTCAAGTTTGTATGATCCTTTGCTTGTGATCTCGATAGTACGATATTGACCTTCCTCATTCTGTTCGAGCTTCCCTTTGTTCGAGTTGTGGGTGTTCTGTGTCACCTTTCTTAACACCAAGTCCCCGACATTAAAGTGTTGGATGTTAGCTCTCCGATTGTAATACCTTTCGATCCATTGCTTTTGGGCGGCCAATGGGATGAGGGCGGCCTACGGGACGAGGTAGGCCTCGCACCTCTCGTTCGAGAGTTCAAGGCTCGTACTCATGGCTTTGTTATTTGACTCTTCAGTCGCATATCGGAACCTGAGGCTCGATTCTCCTAATTTAACTGGTATTAGAGCATCGACGCCAAAGACAAATGAGAATGGGGTTGCCCTGGTACTAGATTTTGAGGTTGTACAGTACTCCCATAGGACTTCGGGTAAAATTTCCTTTCATTTTTTGTTGGTGTCAGTCAACCTCTTCTTAAGGTTTTAGAGTATGGTTTTGTTTGTAGATTCCGCCTGGCCGTTCCCACTAGGGCGATAGGGTGTTGGCAGGATTCTTTTTATCTTATGGTCGTCGAAAAATTTGCTCACCTTGGTGTCGATGAACTACTTGCGATTGTCGCGCACGATCTCGGCTGAAATTCTGAACTGACACGTTATGTGGTCCCAAATGAAATCAATAACTTCTTTCTCCTTAACTTTCTCAAATTCCTGGGCTTCCACCCACTTAAAAAATAGTCAGTCATAAATAAAATAAATTGAGCCTTACCAGGTGCCCACAATAGGGGACCGACGATATCTATTCCCCATTTCATGAATAGCCAAGG